CATATCGGGTCTACCGTGTGACTGGTCCGCCGTATCGGGCCTTCAGTCCAACGGATCCATCCTCCGGTCTAGTCATGTCCTTCGAGTCTACAGTGGGGTTGGTCCGCCCGCATCGGGCCTTCAACCCACCTGGTCCACTCTCTGAGTCTACAGTGTGACTGGTCCGCCCGCATCGGGCCTTCAGTCGGCCTGGTCCACTCTCCGAGCCTCGGCACGTCTGGTCCGCCCTCGTGGGGCCTACAGCCTATCCGGACCGCTCGCTGGGCCTTCGGAACAACCGGTCCGCCCTGGGTATCTTGGCCTACAGCACAAAGCAGGACCCGCCTCAACCCATCTCCAGTCCAAACAACCATGTGCACAAAACATACATTCATATAACAGTCATAGTCAACAAACCGAGCAAGCAGATCACATAGCATATCATTACCCTAACCGGGTTACCGACCTAACCGGTCACTAGCATAGCATCACTCTGTATATCGGGAAAACTGACCTTAGCAAGGCCTCCTAGCATGTACCATCCTAGCTACCAGGATGCAGACACATCAAACAATAACATAATAACCATAACCGAATCTCAATACAATAAAGGGCCGGCCTTGGTGCCTTAGACCCTGTTGATATAGTGAGGATAACTCACCTCGAAACTGTCGGCTGAAAAGATAAGATCCCGCTGCTCCGAACTCTGACACGAACTCCTCCACTAAACATCAAAACATACAACTCAATAAATACCCTTAATTACCAAAATACCCCTGGAAGACAACTGGTCAACCTTGGACGAGTCAAAGTCAACCCCTGACTGACCCTACTCGCCGAGTCATCCCGATGACTCGCCGAGTCCTTATGCTCAGAACTTCCCTCAATTAGCGACCCAACTCGCCGAGTCACCCCAAGACTCGTCGAGTCCAACAACTCTGAGTCCACTCGCACCCAACTCACCGAGTCATCCCTTGACTCACCGATTCATCGACTCAACCAGAAATATTGGGACTTCCTCGACAAGACTCGCCGAGTCCAAATGGACTCGTCGAGTCCAAGGCCATCTTCAACCTACTCGCCGAGTTGTTCTTCCAACTCGTCGAGTCCCAGGCCATCTTCAAGCAACTCGTCGAGTCCACCCATGTGACTCGTCGAGTACCACCGGTCTGAATCCATACAGAAGCATCTCAGGCCATGCAATTGATCCAAAACATAGATCCAACCTCCTACAATCCATCCATCACGTAAAGTGGCAAACTTTACGTGAATCTAACGAGATCTAAGCCATATTCACCTTAAAACCAAGGTTTGGGACATGGTGGCTTCACTAAGCACTCAAACACAGGAACTTTAATGCACTCTAGGCCTTCAATATTCCAGATCTGAGGTAGCAACCTCAGATCTATCCTCCAAACTCCAAAACATTCCAAGACATACTCCCCACAAACCCCAAAATGATGAAACTAGGAATGCACAGCCTAAGGACGAAGATATTACCTCCAAAAGATGCCTCAATAGCAGCCAAACTCGAATCCAAGCAAAGCCCTTTGATCCAAGCCACTTCTCCTTCAAGATCTCTTCAAACAACACCTCTCCAAGCTCTAATTGCTCCACAAATGATCTCTCCACGAATTTAGGGTTTCTGGAACTCAAGGGGGGGGGGATAAGGGAGGCTCTGGAGGGGTATAATGCTCTTTATATAGGGCTCAACCCCGAAAATTAGGGTTTTCTCCATACAGCACCTACTCGCCGAGTCCATCCTTGGGACTCGCCGAGTAGGCCACTTGACACGCGACCATGACCGCGACCTGACTCGTCGAGTCCCATCCATGGACTCGCCGAGTCATCCTCTAAAACTTACACTTTTAGCCCTTCAACTCTACTCTTGCGATTCCGGGATGTTACATTGTACTTCGGTTTATGTATGTATAAATTGACAATATCCTTGGTAGTTATGTAATATACTACAACATATTCGGTTTGTATCTAGTAGTTTGTAATCACTTTATGATTGTAAAATATTGTTTTTATGAATATGCGTGTAGCATGTTTTGGAATAACAATTGTCAAGTATGAAAGTTTGGGTCTTTAGAAATATGAAAGTTAGGTTCTTTCAGTAGATGAATTAGAGAACGTGTGATGAAATAAAAATTGATGAGAGGTCTCGATGTTTAAAACGATCTAGTCATCTAGCAGAGTATAGACATAGTTATTTGTTATTAATTCGGGAGTATGGATTAAGACATAGTTAATTATCCCTAGTCAGAGAGTATGGAATGGGCACAATTATTGATCCGGGAGTATGGATCAGACATACCAGATCCGGGAGTATGGATCAAGTAAAGAGGTTAGTTTTAGATCCAAAAGTATGGATTAGGTATTTTTGAACTAAGTATTCACTAGGTGTTTTTAAAGTAGGTGTTCATTAAGTAATTTTGAACTGTGTGTTCACTAGATGTTTTGAAGTATGTGTTTACCAGGTATATTTGAACTACGTGTTTACCTGCTGTTTTAAACTACGTGTTCACCAGTTGTAATATAAGAACTCTGGCGGCTATGGACTTAGTGCCTTATATATGTACGTTGGTAGCTATGGATTTAGTACCGTATAGATTAACATTGGTAGTTATGGACTTAGTACCTTGGCAGCTATGGATTTAGTGCTTGTTGTATAAACCTCGGGCAACGATGAACTTCGTGCCTATTCCTTAGGTCAATCCTTAGGATTCTTAGGGACGATCCTGAAGAAATGAACAAGAAAACGGGGATGGGTAATTGGGTTGATTGTTTGATGATTAAATATAATAATTATATTATTATGGGTTGAAAACCCTATGTACTCACTAGGATTCCCAACCCGACCCACTGAAGCTTATTTGTATCACATATTTCGATATGAAGCTACTTTACACTGAGAGATTTAAAAGAGATGTAGATCACTAGTGTAAACGAATGTAAGGTTTGTTTATGCTTATGTTTTAGTATTGATGATGACATCCTAAATGTTTTAAATGAATAAAATACATTTCTTCAGAAATGCATTGATAAAGTATTTATCATGTATTTTATGGGAACAAATTCCGCAAAGTATTTACCGTGAATGAAATACTTTTCTTCAGAAATGCATTGATAAAGTATTTACAGTGAAAATGGGGATGTCACAGATAAAGCTAGAAAATTTATCTATTTAGACCCCATAATAGACCATACCAGGGTTTTGGAGCCCCTAAGATTGAGGAAATCGACTTATCCCATTAAGATGTTCGGTGAATAGTGACCACGAAGTGGTTTGGACCACCACGACGTGGCGACTAGGCTAAGGCCCATCTGTCTTGGCATTTTGTGGCCATGACGTGGAGGTTAGTTGTAGGTTTACATTAGACTTCGAATTTGATTGATAGCTTTGACCAAGTCACACATAAGGATATTGTGGGCATCAGAATTGGTCACTATTTGATGGATATGTGACAAGTAGAGTTGATATTCAAAGCCAAGACTTATTCAAGTATCTGTTTAGACCGATTTTTATGTAGGAATTCTTTAAAACTAACAAAAACAATATATGACTAAAATTTAGTCCCTCACCTACAAGTTTAGGATTGGTGGGAAACATATTGGGGATCGAATTTTAGTCTCGAATAAGTCTAGCGCCAATTTTAACTTTAGATAAAAGTTATACGGGACTGAATTTCATTCCTTGGTAGAATGGTGTCAGGTTTAATTGTGTAAACAATTTATTAGGAGCTGAATTTCATTAATTAATATAGTAGAAATAATTTATGTACGAATAAGAAACTTTCTGGTGACTACATTATAATCCCTAGTAGATATGCCCTATTTGATATTCAAATGCACTATTTAGGAAAACAAATTACAAAATACCTCCCAAACAATCAAACCCTTAATGATTTAGAGTTTAAATTCTCAAGGTATACCAGGTGTAAATATTCATGAGATAATAGTTAAAGTAAAAACTATATCAACATCGTAATCCATAAGTCTTCTAAATATCCTAAAGCATTTCTTTCTCAAATTATTCAATTAAATTTCAAATCTAAACACATACTCCCTCCGTCCCAAAATTATAGTCCATCTTTCCTTTTTGGTTTGTCCCAAAATAATAGTCTACTTCTAAAAATAAATAATAGTTTTACCAAAATACCCTCTCATTATTACTTAACCAACTAAGTATTTAATGGAACATTAAATGCAAAGTAAGGACAAAACTGTCATTTTATTATATAAAGTTATTGGTAATTAATGTTTTTCTTAATCTGTGTATTTTTTGTCTGTGGACAATAATATTGGGACGGAGGGAGTATTAAATAGTATGGTAGGTTTATGAAGCTTAGTGAGCATTATCAGGGTTTATACCTTATGATATTGTATGAAGATTCATGACACCCATACACATTGTAAAAAAACCCAAAAATATCATTCAAAAACTCGTTAAGTTAATGAAACATATACATTGCGGAAAGTCTTTTTTACAATCAAAATTACACTATTGAAACCACCATAATCCCAATAAACATTAGAAATAGAACCAATAACAACTATTGTGATTCATGATATAAACCTAAAGCCAAAATCCATCACTTCTACTCTCACAATACAAAGGAACTTTATATCTAAAGGAAATCCAAATGAAAGCCTGAGGGAAAAGTTGGTAGCTCGTAGCATAAACAAAGTAGTTGCATCACAGTAAAAACTTTTCTGAAGACCTTAGACAAATATTTTGTTAGGGTGCAACCAACACACATGAAACCATGATATTCATTTACAAAGCCTATCCCTTTATGAAAGATTATATAAACTGCCAGTCATAACTTACAAGTCTCAGAATCAATCTAAAATAGATGCTCATTATCAAAGCTAAATTCAAAACAAGAAGCCCCCCTCCCCATGTCCTAATTTCAAAATAACAATGTAGAAATAATTTCCTGAATGCAACAAGTATAATGTCTTACATAAAGTATATGTCATAAATCTTTATAGATATCAGATCTTAAACGCGAAAAACTAAAAATTACAATAAGGTATTAGGGGACATGTGTTCTTTAGTAATTAACTCACATTAGTGGGTGTAGACACAAAATTCAAAAGCTTACCCATCATCGACTTTAGAATAACGAGAATATGATATCCATTAATAAGGAAAACATCCATCCAACGGAAGATAAAGTAATTCATTATCCTCGCCATTTTCTATAACAAGAAAATCTAAACATACACCTGCACGCATAATTTAAATCACACGATTAGAAGGTTCACCAAAGACCAATATATAGTTTTTTTTTTTTTTGAAAGTTACATACTTCTCACAATATCTTCCATGGTTTCCACAGGAAGAGAATCACAAGACACCCATATTCGGTTTTTTTTCATCACCTTCGATACAGATGTTTTTTGAATATCAATTGCATTAGGAATGACTTGTGTTACAATATCCTTTAAACACCAAAAAGGATAGTTAGTGAAACTGGTGGAATAATCCGTATTGGGTTGATTTTAAATTAAGGTGAAGATTGAAGAGAAACCTTTTTTGTCAATATACCCATCAAGAATCCATGTATGTTGGTGAGTACTACAACCTCAAATTTTCCAGCAGCCATCCGACAACATGCTTCATAGATTGTTGTTGTTCCAGGTACCATCAAGGCGTGCTGTAAAGGCATCTGCTTCATTTTCAGACCCCTGTTTAAATGCACGTCAATCGTTAAACATCATTACTTTGGAATTATAGTTAATTGAGTTTAGGATGTTCAAATTTGGGAGTGCTCGTTGCTAGAGAAATAACATTGTTCTTCTGAAAAAGTCAAAGAAATTATTATTTAAAGAAGGGTTCATTCTAAAATAGGTATGAAAGGCGCATTTGTTCATTTTAATTTCTTGTGTTTATCTAAAATTTATCATTCTTATACTGTGTTATAATTTATTTGCAAAAATGTTGGTTTGGTCGCAACAAATATAAAAAAAGGTAAATACTACCTCGGAGAAAATCCTCGTGCTGCAGCTTCTATAACTTTCTCGAATTTAGTAAGATCGGACATCCCCATATTATAAAATAAACCGATTACCTTGCCATTCTTCTGAGTAACTGGTAATTGTTTAAAGCTTTTATCTTCCATCTCTTTAAGTGCATTCACAAAGAGTGTATCAGACATCACACAAGATGGGTTCTTTGACATCACCTTTGAGATAGGTGTGTTCACCAAATGAATCTCAGAAGCAATCACTGTTTTTACAATATCCTTCAAACAAAAAATGGTTAATCAACCTCCCTCAACATGGTAATGTTATTTTATCCTACATTGTAGGATAAACTCTTACAAATGGCTATATATGTTGCAGCCTCCCCTCTCTCCATAAGGGCTCTTTTGGAGAAAGAATAACAAGCTCCACATATATTTACATGGTATCGGAGCGGGGGGTCTTGCACCCCCGTAGCTTAGCACAACCCTGTATATCCTCATCGAGCCTCCGACTTTGAGTGGGGTGATAATGTATCTCACATCAGTATAACATAGTCTTATGAGTGACTATATATGTTGGAACCTTTTATCTCTATATAAGGCCTCTTTTGGAGAGACAATGTTATGCTCCACATATATTTATATATATATGTGGAGTCCAATACTATCTCCAAAAAAAACATGTTTGGAGAGAGGGGAGGCTCCAAAATATATAACCACTTAGAAAACTGTATCACACCAATATAGGATACACAAATAGGTAAATGATGGCTTGACTTAAAATTTAAGACAAACCTTGTATGTTAGTATCCCAGTTGGTAACCCATTTAAGTCGGTGACTACAAGAACATTAGCTCTATGAGCACTCATCTGATAGCAAGCTTCATAAATAGTTATGGATGGAGATACTATCAAGGCCTCTGATATGCCCATTTGCTCCACTGTCTTCTCTACTATTGAAACCCTATCAAAATGCATGTTATCATATTAAAGCATAGTTAATCAAGATTTAGATGTTTAGTTGAAAAACGGAGAGTGTTTGCTTTATGTTATATTTTCAGAAAAACTATTTGTCCCTAATTTCAAGTATATCGGTGAGGTCCTTCATGGAACGAACAAAAATTAATTGTCATCGAAAGGCAACCAACATATTTTTTTCTCGCTAATGCTAAAATATGAAGTAGTGACTAATTCATTGTTGACGTACCACATATTAATGGATGGTTTTTTGTTTTTCTTATCATCACCCTTGCCATTCACAGCTTGAAGTAGATTACTTGATTCATCAAGGGAACCTAAATTTGCTTGTGGTTGAGGGGGGACTAAATCATGAAGAAGATTATTTAGATTTGGAGCTATAGTCGCCTGAGCAGAAAGCGCAATGTCAGGACCATCAGTCCCATCCCATGGAACATTTTCACTGACACTTGGAAGTGGATTTCTCGATTTGTCCGAGGGATGTACAGTTGTATTTTGTTGAGATGGGTCGACTAAATTCTCACAAGAATCATTGGGATATGGTGAATTAGTCACTTGCGAAAAAGGTGTAAAACCAGGACCATCAGTCTCATCCCACTCGTCGTTACTATTAACACCTGGAGGTGGGTCACTTGATTGCTCCGGGGGACGTACATCTGTATGTTGTGGAGGTGGGGCCATTAATTTATCAAAAGACTGATCGTTTGGATATGGTGAATTGTTGATACGACTATAAGGTGTAAGACCAGGACCATGACTTTCTTCCGACTCCTCGTTGATAATAACACCTGGAAATGGTTCACTTGATTCCTCAGGGTTTGTAAGGTCGGAAAATATCTCATTAGGATCAACGTTAGGATATGGTGAATTGGACACATGCACAAAAGGTGTAAGACCAGGTCCATCTGTTTCATCCCACTCGCCATTGCCATTAACACTTGAAAGTGGTTCGCTTGATTGCTTCGGGTGACGTGGCACAACTGTAGGGACGACTAATTTATCATAAGGATCAACGTCGGGATATGGTGAATTGGACACGTGCACAAAAGGTGTAAGACCAGGACCATCTGTTTCATAGCAATCAACATTTCCATTCACACCTTGGAGTGGTTTACTTGATTGCTCTGAGGGGTCTACAGATGTATGTTGTGGAGCATCGGGAAATTTATGTTTTGTATTAGTCGTTCTTGTATTGGGGAGAACACCACCCTGTATACTCAGTGAATGGTAAATAAAACCACCATCTTCATTGTTCTCTCGAACAAGCAAATGTGTCCCTTGTCCTGCATTCATAGTTTAAATCACTTGATTAGAAGGTGCAACAATTACTTGGTACCAAAGGTTTTTATTATGAAACTAAAACTGAGTTATGAATTGAATTACAAAGCAACGTTAATAAACTATTTATAACAAGTCAAAAAACTGTAAATGAAACTAATAACAAAGAACTAAATAACCAAGTGAAACAAAAATGAACATGGAATTTTTCCTACTGCATACAAACCTTGCAGTACAATCTCTGGAAAGATATGCTCGGGAAGACTATCATAGGACACAAAAATTGGCTTCTTGCTCATCACCTTTGAGACAGGTGTGTTTACAATATCGATACCACAAGGAATGATTCTTGTTACAATATCCTTCAAATACGAAAAAACGTAGTTAGGGAAACTGATGGAGCAATCAACGATGGATTGGTTTTAAATTCATGTTGAGATTAAAGACAAACCTTTTTTGTCAATATACCACTGAATATCACATTTGAGCCAGTGAGTACCACAGCATCATTTCGATGTTTAATCATCTCACAGCAGGCGTCGTATATAGTTTCGGTTTCAGGTATTATCATTGCATAGTCTGGAGGCAATTCCACCACAGTTAAAGCCCTATCGGAAACACAACATGTAAAATATATTATTTTAAAACACGGTTAATTGAGTTACTTTTTCAAGAATGAGAAAATATCTTCAGCAAAAATGAGCCATTTCAGACAAAATAATAATAATAATAATAATAATAATAATAATAATAATAATAATAATCTCTCTATTCTAATAAAAGAGTAGTTTTTAATTTCTTTTTGACATGTATCACCACATTAAGCGTCATAATTAATGCAAAATTTATTTTTTTTATCATGTTTCACCTTATTATATCTTATAATTAATGCATATTATTTGTTAACATATTGATTATCCATTTCAAAGTTCAAACTTTAAATTTTATCATTCTAATTACATTAAATTAACAACATTAAAATAAAAATTAAAATAAAATTAATACAAATTATAAAGTGATATATAATTCTACATATTTATTTAAATCAATAATTATAATTTTATATAACTAAAAAACCTCTTAATTTTAAATTTTAACTATTAAAATTTAATTAAATTTATAACCGTGGTTCCCACAGGTTATAAACTACTAATACTAATAATAGTACGTGTTTTTTAATTTAAATGTTTATTGTTTATCCAAAAATACTCATCCTTAATTAGGTGTAATAATACTTTATTTTCAAAAAATGATGTTTTGCTTGCCAAAAAAAAGGTAAATGTTACCTCTGTGTGACTCTTTGCACTGTCGCTTCTACAACCTTGTCGTAATTTTCAACTGTTGTTTCGGTATTTGCGGTTTCATCAAATAAAGATAAAAGCAGGTCAAGTAAACCAATAACCTTATCATTCTCCACAACAGGTAACTGTTTAAATTGTTCTGTATATGCGTAAATTAATTCACAGGATTAATAAGAAGGTTCACCAAATTAACACCAAAATTCAACATACAATTCATCCTAAATACTGTTACCAACCTTTCGCCATGTAATTCAGGGCTTCCTCTACAAGAGTATCAGACAAAACGAAAAATGGGTTCTCTGTCATCACCTTTGACACAGGTGTGTTCACCAAATCAATCTCATGAGCACTAACCCTTGTAGCAATATCCTTTAAACACCAGAAAAGGTAATTAACTTTATGTAAATTAATTGGTAAATGTGTGGGTGATTATAAATTCAAGACAAACCTTCTTGGTCAATAACCCAGAGAGAAACGCATCTGAGTTAGTAAGTACAAGAACATCAGCTCTTTGAGCAGCCATCTGACAGCAGGCTTCATAAATACTTGTGGTTTCAGGTACTATCAACGCCTCTGATAGATGTAATTCTTTCACTTTCTTGCTCCTGTTCAAATTCATGTTATTATTTGGAAATCAAATAGTTACTAATTCATCTTGAAAGTACCTTATGAATTGGATTAATCCATTATTAGTTCGATCATCACTGTTGCCAATCACAGAATGAATTGGACCCTTTAACGGTAGACATTCCTCCTCGTAATTGATCAAGCCCGAAAGATTCACCAATGGTGCAGAAAGAGGTCGAGCATTGGATAAATTCATTTTGAGCCGGGAGAAAGAAAGTTTGCTGGTGGAGTGTTAAATATAGAAATTACATGGTGTGCGCATGGACCGGAGATAATGAAGTTAACGTGAATACAAGGGGTTGACTTTATATAATGTTTACAAAAAACACCTTTGGTTTTATGGATTTTTCACTTAAACACCCCCGAGAACGGAAATATGTAAAACAAGTGCTAATGTGCTATAGTGTTGAATGTAGTAAATTCAAAACGAGGAGCCTTTGTGTGGTGGTGGACTGACATAGTCTAGTAGTTGTGAAGTTGTGGTCGGTTTAAAGAGACATCAGTTCATTAATTAACAGCAGGCAATAGAAACATTCGATTTCGTACCTCTTTATACCTTCGGTTACTCCAACTCAAAGTTCACCATTTAGCGTAACATTGTAGTAAGTTAGATATAATACGATAGTCTTCCGCTATACAATTGTGGATAACTATCAATAAGTTATTTAATAATCGATATAGAATATTATGTATGTATATTTAACAGTTAAAGGTTTATAATGGAGGTTGAGATCTTCAAAACAAAAGAAAATACTCAACATGTATTAATTTACAATAATTGACTATTGACTTTATCAACACATATTCAGTGAAGTACAATAAACTTTTGGAGTACATTATTAATAAATCAGATTATTTAATAAATTAACTTGACAAGAGTTATTTGCATATGATAGCATATATATTGAATTTAATCAGAATAACTATTAAACTTTCTTATCAATGTCAAATGTGTACAAAGAAGAACTTTAACTCCACACAAGTATGAATCTTTGTTGAGATTAAAGACCACATCGGAAAGCATGACAATATATGGTAATTAATGTGAACCATGAAGATTTCAAAATGAAGAAATATAATGAGATGTGTCCATATAGTTTTTAGTAATAATTTTCGAACGTAATACTCTATTGTTTTTTAAATAGTTAAACGCAGTTATTTAAAATAAGATAGTTTTATCAAATTGTAATGGCAATATTTCGACTATTAAAAAAAAATATCCAATGACAAAGTAGTTCATTGAAAGTGTAGATATGTTTTAAACTAATATATAACTCGTGGGAACCACGGTTATAAAATTAATTAAACTATTATAGTGAGAACTTAAAATTACTCTCTCTGGACTCCGTTTTTAGCATTCTTTTTCCCAAAATTACTATTTTAAGGAGTACTACTATTTTCTTTTTGGTTGTATTATGTTGAAGTAATTCAGAAGTTTGATTTTATTTGTTTTGCACGTGAAATTAGAATAGGAGAATAAATCAAAGCCATGTGACAGATATGCCCCTGGTCTTTAGGAAGTAGCTGTTAGTTCCTGATTTCTCTGCATCTCTTTAGTTTAAATTCCCAGGCATTGTGTACGTTGAAATTACTCCTTTTTCTCTTGAATAGTACACAGAAAAAACCTTTGCCTATTGTTCCCTTCTCTGTAAAAAGTTTTTCTCTGTCACTTCTATTTGCAGGAGCCTCGTGAAGAGCCTGGAAAACCAACAAAGTGGTATCAGAGCAAATCCTGGTATATGCCCAAGTACCAGTCCCAAGAAGAAATGACAGGATCCAGTAGTAATGGCGAGAAAGATAGTCAGATCACCCTACACTATCCCATGTTGTCGAAGACGAACTATGGAGCGTGGGCAATCAAAATGAAGGTGTTTATGCAGGCTCATGGTGTATGGGAGGCGGTGGAGCCTAGAGCTGCAAATACAGCTGTTGACACAAAGAAAGATAAGATGGCGTTAGCAGCAATTTATCAAGGGATACCTGAAGATCTCTTGATGTCATTGGCTGAGAAGAAAACAGCCAAAGAGACTTGGGAGGCTCTGAAAACAAGATTTGTAGGGGCTGACAGAGTAAAAACAGCAAGAATTCAGACTCTAAAGGTTGAATTCGAATCGCTTACCATGAGAGAATCAGACGATGTGGATGAATTTACAGTGAAAATTGATAACATTGTCAGCTCAATGCGTACTCTTGGTGATACTGTAGAAGAAGACTATGTGGTGAAGAAGCTACTCAGGGCAGTGTCGACCAAGTTTCTCCAATTAGCCTCTACCCTGGAACAGTTTGGTGATCTAGAAAACATGACAGTAGAAGAAGTCATTGGAAGATTAAAGGCACATGAAGAGAGGCTAAAGGGCCATGCTGATAGTGATGATCGAAAGCTCCTCTTGACACATCAAGAGTGGTCAGAGAGGAACAAGAAGAAGAGTGATGGAGACTCCAAATCCAAATCGAATAGAGGAGGTTTTGGAGGATCACGGGGACGAGGCAGAGGCAAAGGCCGAGGAAGACACAATGGAGGGCGTGGTCGTGGTAGAAGCGGGTCAAACCACCACATGGAAGGGAATCATGGGGCCTCTAGCAGTCAAGACAAAAGTGCAATACAGTGTTATAATTGCCAGGAATATAGCCATTACGCAGTTGAATGCAAAAACCCAAGAAAGGAGAGAAATCATAAGAACCACCTGATTCAAGAAGACTCCGAACCTGCACTGTTGCTCATGTCCTTGGAAGGCAAAGATAAAGTTGATGAAGTCTTCCTGAATGAAGAGAAAGTAAATCCGAAATTGAAGACCAATGGTGGAGAGTCAGCCCAATCAAGCATATAGTATCTTGATACAGGGGCAAGCAATCACATGACAGGAGATGTGAAGAAGTTCCACCACCTAAACAAAGGAGTACAAGGGTATGTTAGATTCGGAAATGAAACTAAAGTAAGAATTGAAGGAAAAGGTTCCATAATTTTTCAGTGTAAAAATGGTGAACAAAGAAAGCTTCAGGAAGTGTATTACATACCTGATTTATGCAACAACATAATCAGTCTTGGGCAGTTATCTGAAGATGGAGATGAAATTAAAATAAAGGAACCTTTGCTCTGGGTTCATGATAGAAGAGGAAGATTGTTGATGAAGGTTCAGAAATCCCAAAACCGTCTTTACAAGATAAAACTGGAAGATGTCAAAAATCAATGCTTGATTGCCCAATGTAAAGACCCATCGTGGCTGTGGCATATAAGGTTAGGCCATGTGAACTTTGCCTCCTTGAAATTAATGTATGAAAAAGGAATAATAGAGGGAATTCCTAAGATGATCATTCCGTCTGAGCCCTGTGAAGGGTGTCTTATGGGAAAATAAACACGGAATCCTTTTCCATCAAGTACGAGCTTTAGAGCAAAAAGAAGATTGGAGCTGGTCCATGGTGACTTATGTGGACCGGTTACTCCACGAACCCCAGCAGGTAACAAGTACTTCATGTTACTGGTAGATGACTTCAGTAGAGTAATGTGGGTGCACTTGTTGAAATCAAAAGACGAAGCATTTCAGACATTCAAGAACTTTAGAAACAAAGTTGAAGCAGAAACAGGTGAGAAAATGAAAGTGCTTAGAACAGACAGGGGAGGAGAATTTCTCTCAAATCAATTCACCTCGTATTGTGAAGAAACTGGGCTCGGTCGACAGTATATGTCACCCTACTCTCCGCAACAAAACGGAGTGGTCGAAAGAAGAAACCGATCGATACTTGAAACGGTCAGAAGCTGCTTGAAAACCATGAAGGTACATGATGTACTATGGGGAGAAGCCGTAAACCATGCTGTTTATGTGCAGAATCGATTGAGCACAAAAGCCCTGAAAGAATCGACACCATATGAGACGTGGACAGGTCGGAAACCACACGTTGGACACATAAAAGTGTTTGGGTGTCTAGCTCATATGAAGATTGTGAAAAATCACTTGAAGAAGCTGGATGATAGAAGTAAGAAGGTGGTCTATCTCGGCACAGAAAAGGGGTCAAAGGCTCACAGACTATTAGACCCTGATACAGGATCGGTGTATGTAAGTCGTGATGTGATATTCGAAAAAAACAAAACCTGGAATTGGGGGGAGAAAAGCAAAATTAAGTCAATTCCAGGTATGAGGTTTACGGTGGATGGTTTCAATTTCGCTGAGTCTGGGGAGCTTGAAGACGAAGACGTATTTGACTCATATACCCCTCTAAGTGATTCCGGGTCATTTGATACCAGGTCGCCTGAATCGGATAGTGAAGAACCCGCTACTTCCCAAATGGACTCACAAGGGAGCCCACACTTGATTAATAGTCCAAACACGCCCACAACACTCACTGATCAATATATGTCCAACAAGCCTGTTACGACTGAATCACCAATTGGACCACCTGTTCAATCGACGACTCCAAGCACCGCCTCAAGCTCCACCGACGGTGGTGCCCCAAAGCGCTATCGCACACTCACCGAGTTGTACGAGAATACGGAGGAGATACTAATACCCCCTGAAGAATTACTCATGATCCGTAATGATGAAGAACCAAATTCGTATCAAGAAGCGATGACTAGAGTTGAATGGGTCAGAGCCATGAAGGTGGAATTAGCGTCTATCAAAAGGAACAAGACCTGGACCCTCGTTGACCTCCCAAAAAGGCGAAGTGCAATTGTTCTGAAGTGGATATACAAGGTTAAAAGGGAACCAGATGGAAGAAATTCAAAGTATAAAGCAAGAATTGTGGCGAAGGGATACGTACAGAAACAGGGTATTGACTATGAAGAGGTATTCGCACCAGTAGCTAGAATCGAGACTGTGCGTGTAATTTTGGCTCTTGCAGGGTCAAATAGATGGAGGGTTCACCATCTCGATGTAAAATCAGCGTTCTTGAATGGGAAATTAGAAGAAGAGGTCTATGTAATCCAACCTGAAGGCTTTGAGAAGAAAGGTAGTGAAGGGAAAGTGTATAAACTCTCAAAGGCACTTTACGGACTAAAACAAGCACCCAGAGCTTGGAATGCTTGTCTTGATAGACATCTGAAGGTCTTAGGTTTCACATGATGCCACCAGGAATATTCAGTGTATACAATGAAAAGGGGGGTAAAACTCTAATTGTGGGAGTTTATGTTGATGATCTCACTGGAAGCTGCTCCAAAGACATAGACAATTTCAAACAGGAGATGAGAACTAAATTTGAAATGAGTGACCTCGGTCTATTGTCTTATTATTTGGGAAT